TGTCTAAAGTTTCGGGGTTACCCCCTTATAGCGGCACATCCCAATATTTGGGTCGGTGGGAACGTTGTTCAATCGAAATGTTTATTATTTGGTATTTGGGTTCTTACGATACACCCTAATATTCGGTATTTTGTGTGTATTGGTCATTATTTTCATCGCAATTGGCTGTATTTTCAATTTCCACTTTACGACATTTTTACTTGGTGGATGGTCAATTTTTTTCGACAGAGAAAATGCTTCGTCATGTTTTGTTGAGTTCTTTGACTATTTACTACTCCAAGAAAGTTGATCAAAGTATCGGGTTTAAGTTTTGTGTAAAAAATGAAATTAAATGCGTCAGAACAAAAAAAAAAATGTTTTTGATATTTATTGAGAAATTAAAAAAAAAAAACAGTAAGGAAAGTAGTAAAGTCGGACGGGGCCGACTATATGATAACCTTAACCACTGCGGGTACATAGTCTCCTAGCAGCTGTCGCCTTTTCGAAAGAACATTGACGTGGAATTGAACGAGAGATATATAACAACTTTGGTGCACCATTTCTATTACATCGGACGAAAATATATATGGGAGCTAAATCTAGTTTTGAACAAATTTTCACGAAACTTAGCACACATCATAATAGACTCAATTCAGCACGCTATGCCAAATTTCGTGCATATCGAAAGATATTTAGGGAGTTTGGTGCACCATATTTATGGGATATATATCTAAATCTGTACCGATATTCACAGAATTTAACACACACCATTCTATACTTAATTTAGTGCGCTATACAAAATTTCGTGCAAATCGAAAGGTATATAAGGACTTTGGTTCAACATACACATTAAGTCGGGCGAAAATATATATGGGATCTGTATCTAAATCTGAACCGATTTTCACGAAACTTGACACACATCATTCCAGACTTAATTCAATACGCTGTGCCAAATTTCATGCATATCGAAAGATATTTAGGGACTTTGGCGCACCATTTATATATGGGAGCTATATCTAAATCAGAACCCATAGTCACGAAACTTAACTTAACAAACTTAATTCTGTACTTAATTTAGTGCGCTATACCAAATTTCGTGCAAATCGAAAGATATATATGGACGTTGGTTCAACATAGCTATATCTAAATCTGAACCGATTTTCACGAAACTTGACACACATCATTCCAGACTTAATTCAATAGGTTGTGCCAAATTTCGTGCATATCGAAAGATAAATAGGGATTTTGGTTCGCCATTTACATTAAATCGGACGAACATATATATGGGAGATATAACTAAATCTGAACCGATTTGCACGAAACTACACGTACGTCATTCGAGGTCTAATTCAGTACGCTATGCCAAATTTCGTGCAAATCGAAAGGTATTTATGGACGTTGGCGCACTATTAATATAAGGAACCTGTATCTAAATCTGAACCGATATTCACGAAACTTAATACACATCATTCTGCACTTAATTCAGTACGCCATGCCAAATTGTATGCAAATCGAAAGTTATATAGTGACTTTGGTGCAAGATTTACATACAATCGTACGAAACTATATATGGGATCTATATCTAAATCTGAACCGATTTTCACGAAACTTAGCACACATCACTCTAGACTTAATTCCGTGCGCTGTGTCAAATTTCGGGCAAATCTAAAGATTCGGGCGAATTTATATATGGGAGCTATATCTAAGTCTGAAGCGATTTTTCCCAATTTCAATAGGGTTCGTCCTCGGGCCAAATAAATGAGCTGTGTCAAATTTTATCCAATTCGGATCATAAGTGCGACCTGCCCTTTGTTTACAATTTAACATCAACATAAATCGACTCAAAAAGTGATTCTATGCTTATTCTCAAATGGAACCATGGGTCAATCTCGTTTCCTTTTGCCTGTTACAAACATATGCACAAAGACATAATACCCTGTACCACAGTGTGGTGAAGGATATAAAAATTAATATTGACCCAGGTCGGTATTTTGAAAATTTTAGAATTTTTTTGAGAATTTTTTCTGCTAAAAAATATCTATATCGATCCCCGTTTTATTATAGCCCCATATAAAGGTAATTCTATTATTAGATATTTTGAGAATTTCAATCATCTTTTCTCACGTAGTTTTTATGTGTTTTCTTCATTTATTTTAGATATTTTGATTGTCAAGTTCGAAGAGGGGCTGCATTGGTCCATACCATAAAGGACACCCTCAATTTTCGGTATTTTGGCGTTCTTGAGAGCGTTTTTCAACCGAATTCGCTGAAATTTGGTATTTGGTAAAAACTGTTCCTACCAAAAATTTATAAACATTCGCCCCTTTTTGTGGTTATTCCTATATAAGCCCCTTCTTATATTAAATTAGTTAGCTGATTAGTTCCGTTTGTAGGCGTATTCTACCATAGTACAGGGGATAGTCGATACTTGAAATAGTCAGTTTTATCCTACAAATTATGGGATTCTAAGACGATTTAGCCATTGATTGTAATCAATCCGCTTTATTAGGAAATCGTGATGAAAGACTCAAATTATGAAATGTATCGGCCAGCATTTAGGCCTCTCCACCATATAATTATACCTCCTGAAGGAAAGAATTGAGACACAAAACAAAAATATTGGGTTCGAAATTGACATATGTCGGTCATTAATTAGGTGTAGCCCAACACCAAATATTCACTCATTTATACACTATGTAATCTAAATTGCAGTAGTTTGAGGATTGTATATTCTACCATGCGTTATTAGTATCAGTCCACGCTTTGGGGTTTTTATTAATTCATTTGTATTTGGTGTACACAATGCTTTACATAAACCGGTTCGTAGAATTATCGGTATAGGTTCACTTTTGAAATATCTTGAATATCTTGAAATATTACATGTGAGTCTGTATTGAGGAATGGGGATTTAAAGTTAGAATTTTGACATTTGATGTTGAAGTTGGTGTACAATATTCCAAATGGTACTAAAATTTAATTCAATTTAATCATATTTAGTAGTACAATTAATAGAGCTATAATTATACCATTTAGTTTGAATATAGAATAGGGCTGATATAACGATGTTTTTGTTAAATTAATTCTCAAATGTTCTAAAAATTATATATATTAATTTTTGTACAAGTACTATTAGGCTATGGAATTGAGCTAGAAATTTTCGATATTATCATTATACCCTTCACCACACTGTGGTACAGGGTATTATGTCTTTGTGCATATGTTTGTAACAGGCAAAAGGAAACGAGATAGATACATGGTTCCTTTTGAGAATATGCATAGAATCACTTTCTAAGTCGATTTATGCATGTCCGTCTGTCTGTCCATGTATTTATGTGAACAAAGTACAGGTCGCATTTATGATCCGATTTGGATGAAATTTGGCATAGGTCACTTATTTGGCCCAAGGACGAACCCTTTTGAAATTGGGAAAAATCGGTTCAGATTTAGATATAGCTCCCATATATATTTTCGTCCGATTTGAGGTAAATGGTGCACCGAAGTCCCTATATATCCTTCGATTGGCACGAAATTTGGCACAGCGTAATTAATTAGCCCTACAATGATGTGTGCTGAGATTCATAAAAATCGGTTCAGATTTAGATATAGCTCCCATATATAGTTTCGTCCAATTTTATGTAAATGGTGCACCAAAGTCCCTATATATCATTCGATTTGCACGAAATTTGGCACAGCGTAATGAATGAAGTATAGAATGATGTGTGCTGAGTTTCATGAAAATCGGTTCAGATTTAGATATAGCTCCCATATATATTTTCGTCCGATTTAAGGTAAATGGTGCACCGAAGTCCCTATATATCTTTCGATTGGCACGAAATTTGGCACAGCGTAATGAATTAGCCCTAGAATGATGTGTGCTGAGTTTCATAAAAATCGGTTCAGATTTAGATATAGCTCCCATATATAGTTTCGTCCGATTTTATGTAAATGGTACACCAAAGTCCCTATATAGCTTTCGATATAGAATAATGTGTGTTAAGTTTCCTGAAAATCGGTTCAGATTTAGATATAGCTCCCATATATATTTTCGTCCAATTTAATGTAAATGGTCCACCAAAGTCCTTATATATCTTTCGATTTGCACGTAATTTAGCATATCGTATTCAATTAAGTCTAGAATGATGTGTGCTAAGTTTCGTGAAAATCGGTTCCGATTTAGATATAGCTCCCATATATAGATTCGTCCGATTTTACGTAAATGGTGCACCAAAGTCCCTATATATCATTCGATTTGCATGAAATTTGGCAGAGCGTTCTGTATAAAGTGCAGAATGATTTGTGCTGAGTTTGGTGAGAATCAGTTCAGATTTATTTATAGCTCCCATATATATTTTCGTCCGATTTATGTAAATGGTACTACCAAAGTCCCTATATATCTCTCGGTTGGCACGAAATATGGCACAGCGTAATGAATTAGGCCTAGAATTGTGTTTGTTAAATTTCCTGAAATCGTTGAAATCGGTTCAGATTTAGATATAGCTTCTTTATTTGACCAAATGAAAGAAATTAGTATAGGTTGCAGAATGGCATGCTTATGTATCCAATTTCATTTTGCTGGTCCTTTAAAAATGCGACGTCTGTTAGGATTCATCTGTTGAATATACCCAAAGTGGTGAAGGGTATCATATAGTCGGTTCCGTCCGACTTTACTACTTTCCTTACTGGTTTTTAGTTGGTGGATAAGGTGAGCTTTACGTTGTGAAGTTGAAAACCTATAAAATCTATATAATATCAATACAAACATTTATCCAATCAATGACGTAATCAAACGTACATATATTTTTTGTTCAAAAATATATGGTGCTACCCATAGGTAGGTTCACATTCAAATAAAACCAAAAAACATTTGTGGCTTAATTGCTATAACAAATTATCTGTCCATTCCGATTATGTAAATTTTAATAATCCCATTGTCATATTACAAATACAATAAACTGTCTTGTCAATCACATCGTATGCATTCTACTTACTCTTCATCCTCCTCGTCATCATTGTTGTTGTTGTTATTTCTATTATTATCCAAACCAACATTACTTTCATAGAATACATCGTCCTCTTTGGACTCGTTATCATCGTTGTTCGGTTCGTTCTTTAAGAGATTTTTGCTATTGCCATTTGAATTCTTAAGACTTGAACTTGTCTTGATACCGCCACTGCCACCGCCCATCAGATTTAAATTCGAATTGAGGCTGTTGTAGTTCTTCTCCTCATTTCCCGATAAAATATCCACATTATTATCATCACCATTACTGATGTCCATATCATCTTCATCATCTTCGTTGTCATCGTCATCATCCGTATCGTGATTGTTGTTGTTGATATTTATGAGGTTGTTATTGCTGTTGCCATTATCATTGATACGGGCATTATCATTGTGATTAGCCGCTGCTATGGCAGCAGCTCTACGCTTCGCTTGTTCTTCCAAATATTTGGACTTTGTGATAATTTCATCACTACAAAGAAAAAGACACACGCACAAAGAAGAGGGAGAGAGGGAAAAATGCAGGTTAGAAATTAATTAAAACAATTTAGAATGGTATTTTAATAAATTATTTAAATAATTGTTTCTGTGTTTTTATTTGTTTGTTTTTTTTTTTTGTAGCAGTAATAATAAATGCTAATTGCTTTAATGGAAATTAAATTCTAATTAATATAATTTTTATTGTTTTGATAACATGGATGATTCTGGAAATTCGTGGTATGCAGAAGACAAGTTTGATGTGTTACATGGAAGTGAGGCTAGGTAAAGATGTAGTGCGTGTTTTAGCTGGAATTCAGAGATTTGGTATTTATTGCGCCTCCAAAAATGAGTAAAATTGAAATTGTGAAACGTTTGAATGTGTAGAAAATCTAAACCATAATTGACAATTTTTTGAAAGTATGTAAATTACATATAGGGAAGTCAAAATAATAAATTTCAATTCAGTGACTTATACTAAAATTTGATGGAGAATATTTTTATTCTTTATACCATCCTTCTAAAACGAAAAAAAAATTGGTACAAACTCGGTATGAGATCGATTTTTATGCATGCATGATTTAATCCGTATGCATGATTTAATTCGAATCTACACTAATTCAAGAATGTCCCTACAAAATTTCATGTGAAAATCTCAAGAACTCTTGAAGATATAGCCGATTTATTGTGTCAGCATCAAATGACGGCTAAAGGGCTTCTCAAACTTTAAACGCGTTTTTCTCTTTTGCGAATGGCGGGCACGATAACTCAAAAACTAATAAACGATTACAAATTTTTACACGTTTCTCTGTGAGTGTATAGCTATCGTATGAACTAGGATAAAGCCAATCGGTGAATATCTTCCTTATTTTTTACAAATTTTTACACCGCCATTTTGTTAATTTTAGAGCGAAGTCAATATTCTGAACAGCTATAACCCCGTTTAAAATGAGTTTACAATCATTTCTGAAAAAGGGGACCGCCGAAGAGATCTCTTCAGAGAGTTAACGTATTAGAGATATTGCAAAACAGCCATATACCTAAAATGCAAGGATTTCGAGAAATTTAAATCCTAATATTTTCAAAAGTCTTGAACGTGGGAAATATAAACTTTTAAAATGCTGATGCAGGCGTCTTCTATTACTAGCCCCTCTGTCATAATTTTTTTGAAATTTCCCGATAATTACTTTTTACCCTTTTCTTGGTCGGCAAATGGTCTTAGATCGAAATAGATGTGTCTGTGACATTCGAACGAATTAAATTATGAGGTCGATATTTTGCATATTATAACCGATATACAAATTCACGTTTTCATATCAATCTAACACACTGCAGTTATTCGCTTTGGGCTTCCTATTGTCTAGAACGACTGCTGAAGAGCACCTTAGTCGGTCGGTGCTGGTCAGAATTTAATATTTCTATACCCTTGACAGCACTGTGGTACAGGGTATTATGTATTTGTGCATGTGTTTGAAACAGTTGGTGTTAAAAAATGTACAAGTCGCATTTATAATCCGATTTGGATGAAATTTGGCACAGCCCATTTATTTGGCCCAAGGACGAACCCTATTGAAATTGGGAAAAATCGGTTCAGATTTAGATATAGCACCAAAGTCCCTGCATATTATTCGATTTGCACGAAATTTGGCATAGGGTACTGAATTGAGCGTGGAATGATGTGTGCCAATTTTCGTGAAAATCGGTTTAGATTTAAATAGAGCTCCCATATATATTTGCGTCCGATTTAATGTAAGTGGTGCACCAAAGTTCCTATATATCTTACGATTTGCCGAAATTTGGCATAGGGTACTGAATTAAGCGTGGAGTGATGTGTGTGGACTTTCGTGAAAATCGGTTGAGATTTAGATATAGCTCCCTTATATATTATCTTCATTCGACAATCTGTAAGGTAGGAGCCAGAAGTATGCGGCCCATTTTCGAGTTTTATCTAGGATTGTTAAAAAGTATTACGATGTGCAATATTTAGATTAAATCGTATTATCAATACGATTGATACTGAATTTAAAAATTTTCAAAATATTGGAGGTATTGTGGGGAAGGTACCAGAAGAGTGGACCGATGAATTTTGATTCAGTTTTTGGGATTGTCCCATATTTACTCCACTAGAGTACTAAGGAAATATTAAATTGTTATTCCGTGATTGAAATCGTCACTTTAGATGTTACACAATATGAATTTTAAGACCATGAAGCATGTATAATAAAACAAGTAAAAATGGTGTTAAGTTCGCCCTGCCTAAATTTTTATACCCTCGACCATAATGATGACAATGAAATACCTATAATAAATAAATATTTATATTTTTATACCTTTCACCACACTGTGGCACAGAGTATTTTGTCTTTGTGCATATGTTTGTAACAGGCAAAAAATAATCGAGATAGACCCATGAGTCGATTTATGCATGTTAAATTGTAAACAAAGTACAGGTCGCATTTACGTTCCGAATTGGATGAAACTTGGCTCAGCTCATTTGTTTGGCCCAAGGACGAACCCTATAGAAATTGGGAAAAATTGGTTCAAATTTAGATATAGCTCCCACATATATATTCATCCGATTTAAGGTAAATGGTGCACCAAAGTCCCTAAATATGCTTCGATTAGCACGAATTTTGGCACAGCGTACTAAATTAGGCCTAGAATGATATGTGCCGAGTTTCGTGAAAATCGGTTCAGATTTAGATATAGCTCCCATATATATTTTCGTCCAATTTAAGGTAAATTGTGCACCAAAGTCCCTGAAAATCATTTGATTTGCACGAATTGTGGCATAGCGTATTGAATTAAGTCAAGAATGACGTGTGTTAAGTTTCGTGAAAATTGGTTCAGATTTAGATATAGCTTCCATATATAGTTTCGCCCGATTTTAGGTAAATGGTGCACCAAAGTCTCTGAAAATCATTCGATTAAGTCTACAATGATGTGTACACCTCCTATATATATTTTCATCCGATTTTAAGTATATTTTGCACTAAAGATCCACAGCTAGGCCGATTGACACAACGTACTGAAATTAATATAAATTAATCTCTGGCAAGTTTGCTTCAAGTCGGTTCAGATATAGATATATCGTAGATTCCATATATAATTTCGACTTATTTATGTTTATTGTACACCAAATAATCAATATGTGTCTGATTGAGATTAAATTTTACACAGTGCAACATACCAAATAGAGTGTGTCAAGTTTGCTTTAAATCGATTTACACAAATCTGTCCCACTGTGCGCAAACGTCTCTAAACGTGCCCAAATGAAATGAAATTTAGCATAGGTTCCAGAAAGATATACAAATCACAAATTTAAGTTCGTTCAATTTCGTGTCAAAATTCCTTCATAAAGGTGACGTCTTTTCGGATACATATGTAAAATATACCCAAAGTGGTGAAGGGTATCATATAGTCGGCCCAGTCCGACTTACTACTTTCCTTACTTGTTTTTTAGTTACATTTGACATCCAATCATAATACAAAATACCAAATTACAGGCAATTCGGTTAATTAAAATTTCAGTTAATTTGATTGCAAATCTTGTAAAAAATCCCCATATTGGGGTTACAACATCATGGGGACTTCCCTTAAATGGCTCAATATTAATTAATTTGGTAAGAAAATTTACTATGCAATGAGAACCCCTAATACAAAATTACAGCCATGTTGGTTGGAAAACGTGTTAAAAATACTGAATAATGGGGCTACACATAATCTTAGGGGAATATAAATAAGTTTTGGTACGGATATGTGTTGTTCAATGGGAATACAAAATATCAAATTAATGGCGATTCGGTGGTAACCCACCAAAATCCTCAAAATACCGAGTTTGGTGGTATACTGTTATATAGGGGCTTCCCTGAAACGTGGGTCAATATTAATTATTTGTGGTACGGATATGTGTTATTCAATAAGAACTCAAAATTACAACAATTTCGGTTGGAAAACGTGTTAAAAATTTGCAGAATAGAGAATATAGAGGGATACCGTTTTGTGGGGACACCTTGTAACTTGGGTCAGTATTAATAATTTTTGGTACGAAGATTTGCTATACAATACCAAAAATACCAAAGTATCCAAAATACCGAATATTGGGGGATACCGTGGGGGCTATACAAAATTCAATGTAAATAATTTCATCAATGTTCTTTAAATCTTTGGCTGAAAAAAATGTTGCAATCAAATGAAAATAACTGAATATATATTGACGAAAAAAAGGGAAATAGAAATTTTGAAAATTGCAATTTTATTGCTGTGAGTTTTGGTAAATAACATCTTTTGTTTTGACATATCCTACAGATAAAGCTTCGCCGTATTTTGATACACTTTCCAATTGAAGTGATTTGGTGAACATGTCTGGAAACATATGTTAATAGTTCCCGAACCTAAAAGAATCTACTAGATTTGGCATTTTTGCTGCTTTTTAATCGAAACCCGTTCTGTGAAACTAGTAACATTTTTAATCAAACTTAATAGAACACGTTCTTTTTGTAAACGTTTTTCTTGAAAAATTTGGCCGTGAAAAATGGTAACTAGGGCTGCCAACTTCTGATTGATTGCTGTGTTGATTTAGGTTTTAGTAGTTTAGTTTTCCGTTCCACAACTTTTCATGATTTCAAAAAATATCAAATAATGGTTTATAATTATTATTGCAGAACTATTCAATACTGGATATTTGTTTTTAATCCTTAATGGACGATATATAAAACATTAAACTTTCCATTGTTTCAAACTTACCGATTTTTGTGCAGTTCCTTTTTCGATACACAAACTGCACTGTATTCATTTTCCAGCAGGCATATTTCACGTTTTTTACAGCTTAATGGACGGCAGAGATCGCCTGTAATAGGGAGAAAAAAAGCGTATGAATACCCTGTAATCAACAAAGTTCGCAAAAAAGGTTACAACAAAAGAAAATCTAATTAAAGTTTAATAATTTCCTGTTTTTTTTTTATGTTTTCAGTTTACAACCAACATTGGTGCGCACATGCATGCTAGGGGTTTACGCCAGTGTTGTGGTAAATACTTTTACTTGTTCTAACATGGCAACAATAAAAGTTTTATTAATATAAAAATGCAATTTAATAAAAAAATAAAAAAAAATATTAAGTTTCTCGGTAAAAAAATTAAACTAGGTCATATTTAGTCAACATTTGTGCGCCCTCCCCCTAAAGTGATGTCATTGTAAGGCATCATTGAAGGGTGATTGTCTGGCAAATGTCGTATCCATGTATGTGTATAAAGTCATCAAGAAAAAGGACAGCTGTTGCTTTTTGATTCGATTTTTTGACTGCGGGACATATATACTCGTAAAAGTTTTACTCATGTATTGTATTACATAGATATTTGTTTTTTGTCTGTTTAGAAAATCACCTTGCATTTCAATCCACTTGTATTCATTGCATGTGTGTAAGTGTGTGTGTGGGTGGGCCGATTATCCAGCACCTCAAGGGTATTACCGTTTGCCATCCATTTGTTCCAAAGAAGAAGAGGAGAACAACATTTTCAAATATAGCCCACAACAACATGTATGACAGTTTTCTGCTTCATCTTCTGTTGCTGTCGTTGGTTGCACTCGTGTTGCTGGTTGCTATTTCACAAAAAAAGATTTTCGTTTTTTTTTTGAGTTTTCCAATTTTTTTTCATATGCAGACCATATGCCTAAGCATTTGTAACCACTTGTAAGGTAGCATCATAACGGTAATGCTTCGGTTGTTCTGGGTTTGATAAGCTCCATTAGCCCAGTTCTATGTTACACACACTCACATACATATGGAGTTGTTTGTATACGAGAGGGAAGACTAGTATTTATTCTGCCACAAGATATTGACAAGACATTTATGTTTCTTCTGTTGGATATGACATTTATGACATGTGGGATAAAACTAGACTTCAATTTGAAGTGAATATTAGATAGAGAATACACTGACATATTGGCTCTAGACGTCACAAATATTTGGTTACTCATTCGTTGAGACGATAGGTCACTAAAGTTATAGAATTTAAAAAAATGAAGGTAGAGCCACGAAATAATTGAAGCAAAAGTTGAACAGTCCCTTATAATGGTCCAGACTGATATAAATAATTTTGAATGCATTTTTGAATCCACGTTGGCGGATATAAAGGTCACATTACGACATTAACGACGTAAGTGGTGACGAATCATGGGTGTATATCATTGGCACTGAAACTAAAGTCCAATGAATAGAAACGTCTAGAAGCGCCATAACTGAAGAATACACTCCAAGTTCGATCAAATGTAAAGGTTTTCTTCAACAGCAATGGTGTGTGGCATCATGAATTCCTGTCACAAGGTCGTACGGTCAATAAGGAATACTACCTTGAAATTTGGATAAAAGAAAGGATAATTATGGAGATTACACATCGATAATAGTGCGTGTGTTATTGACCAAAAACAAAATCGTTTTCATGCGTCAAACATCATTCACTGGACTTGACCTCCGCTGATTCCACCTCTCCCACAAACTGAAGATGCTGGTGAAAGGAATGCGTCTTTTTATACCCTTCACCACACTGTGGTACAGGGTATTATGTCTTTGTGCATATGTTTGTAACAGGCAAAATAATCGAGATCGACCCATGGTTCCTTTTGAGAATATGCATAGAATCACTTTCTGAGTCGATTTATGCATGTCCGTCCGTCCGTCTGTCTGTGCATGTTAAATTGTAAACAAAGTACAGGTCGCATTTATAATCCGAATTAGATGAAATTTGGCACAGGTCACTTATTCGGCTCAAGGACGAACCCTATAGAAATCGGTTCAGATTTAGATATAGCTCCCATATATATTTTCGTCCGATTTAAGGTATATCTTTCGATTTGCACGAAATTTGGCATAGTGTACTGAATTAAGCCTAGAATGATGTGTGCAAAATTTCCTGAAAATCGGTTCAGATTTAGATATAGCTCCCATATATAGTTACGTCCGATTTTAGGTATATAGTCTACTAAAGCCCCTGGAAATCTTTTGATTTGCACACATTTCGGAATAGCGTACTGAACTAAGTCTAGAATGATGTGTGCAAAGTTTCGTGAAAATCGGTTCAGATTTAGATATAGTTCCAAATATATTTTCTCCCAATTTTTGGTAAATTGTGTACCAAAGTCCCTGGAAATCTTTTCATTTGTACGAATTTTGGCAAAGCGTACTGAACTAAGTCTAGAATGATGTATGCAAAGTTTCGTGAAAATCGGTTCAGATTTAGATATAGCTCCCATATATAGTCTCGCCCGATTTTAGGTAAATGGTGCACCATAGCTAGGCCAATTGACACAACGTACTGAAGTAATACACATAAGTCTCTTGCAAGTTTCCCTGAAATCGGTTCATATATAGATATATAACAAAAACCCGACGTTTGTTAGGATACATATGTAGAATATACCCAAAGTGGTGAAGGGTATCATATAGTCTGCCCAGTCCGACTTTAGTACTTTCCTTACTGGTTACTATTGAGGATATAAAAAAAAATCGAAATACCTAAAATGTATCTCTGAAGAAGGTATGCAGAACTGCTCATCATAGACCGCTAAGGAATTTCGTTAACGAATTAGAATGGGACAAAATAAATAAGCAAATCTCAATCGGACACCCGTTGATTATTTGGAGCCCTATTAACATACAGTCTGTCGAAACCATGTATATGCACTATGTCCACATTTCTACAAAACGATATTACGCCATTCTATGCTCGATTTTGTACGCTGTGCAAAATTTCGTGTCAATTTTTTAAACAGGAGGAGTTTGGCGCACCATTTACTTAAAATCGGACGAAAATATATTTGAAAGTAATATCCAAATCTGGAGCGATTTCAACGAAATTAGCCAACGTTAGGTTATACCAACATCAATACGATTTGTGCCTATGGCCATATTTTGGGTCTTGGTGCACCATTTACTTAAAATCGGACGAAACTATATATGGGAACTATGTCTACATCTGAACCGTTTCCACCAAAACTTGACACACCTTATGTTATAGTAACTTCAGTACATTGTACAAAATTGTGTGCCAATCGGCCAAATTTTGGGTCTTAAGTGCACAATTTATCGATTTTACATTAAATCGGGCGAAAACTTATATGGGAGCTATATCTAAATGTGAACCGATTTTTACGAAACTTAGCACACATCATTCAAGACTGAATTCAGTACAATATGTCAAAATTCGTAAAAATCGAAGAAAATATAGCGGCTTTAGTGCTTCATTAACATAAAATCTGACGAAAATATATATGGGAGCTATATCTAAATCTGAACTAATTTTCATTTAAACTAAATCAGACAAAAATATATATGGGAACTATATCTAAATCAAACCAAATTCAATAGGGTTCGCCCTTGGGCCAAATACATGAGCTGTACCAAATTTCATCTAAATCGGATTATGAATGCGACCCGTATTTTGTTTCACTTTAATACCAACAAACGGACAGGCGGACGGACGGACATGCATTAATCGACTCAGAATATGATTATATGCATATTCTCAAAAGGAACCATGGGTCTATGCAGATTTTGCCTGTTACAAACATATGCTCAAAGATGACTGACTGAGCGTCGGCAATTTGACCCGTTCGACGATATAGAGAAAAACTGAGGAAGCTTATCCTCTAATTTGAACCGCTAAATAATAAATTATATGTCCGAACACCACCCATGTGTGGTATTCAGTACTAAGAGGTCGAAAATCCGGAGAGCGAAAAGGGAGTTTCCTAAGGTCGGGACTGGTTAACGTCTGGCATAATGTATGTGGATGATTGTACGATCATGGCATTGGCTAGCATTTTCAATGCTATATGCATATGCATATACGCCAAGTCCACAGTCACACTATTCAAGGGCTGGAATGAATACCCTACTGAAAAAATGATCAGTGGTGAAAAAATTCTGTCAAAACAAGTAAAAAAGTGTAAAAAATGGCTTGCAAAGGTCTTCGGAATTACATCCAGTTTTCATACCCTCCATCATAAGGTGGTGTGTGTTTTATATTTGTCATTCCGTTTGCAACACTTCGAAATATTCACCGGAGACCCCGTCATCGATATAAAACTTTATTCTTGATCAAAATTTAAGTTTATGTCGACTTGTGTTTGTCTGTCTGGCCGTCTGTTGAAATCACGATTGAGATCGCAATAGTTAAAATAGAGCTCTGAAATTCGCTAGTACTCCTAGGATGTTTTGTGTAGCAAATAAGATATAACGGTCCAAGTTTTTGTGTAGCCCCCATATAGCGGCACCCCAATGTTCGGTATTTAGGACTGGTTTTCTAACCGAATTTGTTGGAGTTATTGAATTCACACATTACGTCTGTTACAACACACAACCCAGAATAACTGAGTAGGGAGTAGGGTGCGAAACACACTCTAGACGATATCATTCTTAGTGTTAAGGCTACCTAAATAGATGTAAGCTGTAAATAAAACTACTCTGTACATAGCAACCACACGAAGCAGACGTATTTTATTTGACAAGCGAGCAGACAACAAGGAATAAAGTTCAACAGAACTTACTGCAATTTGGTATTTTAGGTTCTCATTGAAGAACACATATCCGTACCAAAAATTACTAATATTGACACAAGTTTCAGGGTAGCCCCCAAATAACGGTATTTCACAATATTCGATATTTTAAGGATGTTGGACACGTTTTCCTACCGAATTGGTTGTAATTTGTTTTTTTGGGTTATCAAGACGTAGGAACAATGTCCTCTTTGCTGCATCAGTGGGGCGATAATAGGCGACTGCAAGCGATACATGATGGAACATGTCAGAATGCCGATTTTAGAACTGTGTGGTGTGGCGAAGGTCACACCCATACATTGACCCAACAGGATGTTGTCGATGCAGTACCGGCTTGGGTGTACCGTCACAATCATCCATGATATCATCCTATGGATAGTATCCACAACCCAGGCACGTAAGAGGACAACTCCATGGTTTCGAGATAGGCCCGACTGTACAAGAATCAGAACCCCTAAACCAATAGACTTATCACCAGGGGAAAATAACATTCCAATGGAATAGGTGACCCTAATTACAGACCAACACCATGTAAATGCAGTTCTTGGAGTCCAAACTTATGGATGACTTTCAAGGCATCTACAATATTATTAGTGGTAAATTGTCATAGTACTACCTTGGGTCGAAGGGCTGTTATTATAACTCAATATTATCGCATTGTGTTATTGAATTCAAATAACTCTCTTTGATCAAGGGAAACTTTGGTTCTGTAAGGAAATATTATAATCTGACCGTAGGAGGATTTCAGATCAGTAGTATTTCCCCAACACGTATAAGCAACTCTTGTCAATATTTCCGTTGAGGAAAATACAAAGGAAATAGCTGCAATTGTGAGTCAAAGGTCTTTAGCGCTGTCAAGACTATCAAAAAAGACTTTTTTGTGTTTTCCATAAACATTTTACGGTCCTTAGAAAGTTGGAAAACTCTTATCAATACAAGTTCACTATATTGACCAAATTTTATACTTGATGATGTGTTGTGCAGTAATTATTTCGGCATGTAAATTTTTTTATTTTAATTTTTTCGCAAATAATTTAATACTCACTTGTTGGATCGTGTATCCAGCGTTTGCGTTCACCATTCATATTTGAACCGATGCCAATGCCAGATGCAGATACGGAATTCTTTGATGTCATTTGGGCATTTTTATTAACCTGCAATTAAATTAAAAAGTAAACAGTTGTTATTTTTGCTGTTATTGGTTTTCAATGGCAAATTATTTAGGTAATTAATTTTCAATTAATTTTAATTGTTGTTTATTTAATTTTTGTTGTGGTACAGGCAGACGCACATTTCGTGGTAGCCATTGACACACGAGTCCTTTGAATGGCAAAACTAACAATGAAACTTTAAACAATGAAAAATCAATTGCTACTGTCCCGTTCAATATCTCAATTAACGTGTAAGTGAGTGAGTGGGAATGGTCAATGGGACCCTTGGCCTTTTGTTGTGCATTCAATTTGCCACAGTTTTGACATAACATCGCTTGCAATAACCTTTTGCCGCACATTTTGTTGTTGTTGCTGTGTGTGCCATCAAAATTAATTGCACTTTTTGATTGCATGTCATTTGACCATTGGTGTTGTTGTAGTTTTCGTTGTATTGTTGCTGTTGTGGCCTTGTTATTTTATGATTTCTTTATGGCTCAACATATTCTGTTGTCTGGGCGGTTTTTTAATCGTTTTGTGTGCAACATAATTGTGGATTGACTTACGTATATCTGTTGTGGTGTTGTTGTTGTCGTTGCTGGTGATGATGTTGTTGTTACTTTTTTAATGTGTATATAATTTATACATAATTGATTAAATTTGCATAATTCCGTTTTCTCTTAACCTCTGTCGGCAGATTTCATGTAGAACGGGTCAAAGAGCTGTTGTCCGTTTTAATTTTTGTATTGAATTAATTATATGTGGGTGTGTGTAAATTTGTTTTTTTAATTGGATTTCAAATATGTTATTTTAAATATTACATATTTAATTATCAAACCGGATATACCTTCAATGGGCATATGAGGCGTATACGTTATGTATTTATGTTCAGGGCACGTATACGTCACGTGGGCTTTGTTAATTTAAGAAATACAATATTAACAAGTGAAAAAGGCAAGGTCGAACTTTGGATAGTGATAATGATAAAAATATTACATTTTAGAGGGCGAAGTTATATGAGCTCATCACCAACGTACACAGAATTTTATTTTGTGGGTGGCAGTTGCTGGATCGATATGCAAATTGTCATTACAAAAAAATTTCCTTCGAGGCTATTCCTACAAAGGGACCAATACATCGAACCCTTGGAGTATATATGATGTGCTATGCCTAATAAAGGAGCGATATAGCTTAATTTCCAACATAACATTTTTCCATCACAATACCTTCCTTCACGCTAAATATTACAAATACCGAAAATGGGTACGTATCATTATATGGAGCCTTGGCCTAAATGCGGGCCGACATATTTCATTCCCACACCTGACGTTCTAGTTTTTATCTCAATATTCTGAAGCATTCCGAATTTCCAACATAACATGTTTCCATCACAATCCTTCACGCTAAATATTACAAATACCGAAAATGGGTACGTATCCTTATATGGGGCCTTGGCCTAAATACGGGCAGACATATTTAATTCCGACACACCTGACGTTCTAGTTTTTATCTTAATATTCTGAAGCATTCCGAAGGTAGAATGCTTACAACAGATCGTCTAAGAATTCCATACTTGGAACACGGAACAAACCGGTTAACTATTTTAATATAAGCAAGTTGAAAAAGCGTTATGGTACCTGTCAATGAAAATATAAGGAACGTACAAAAAGAAGACCTATACCGATATTCTACAAACCGATTTATGTAAACCATTCTGTAGACCAAATACAAATTTCAGCAAATTTTAGAGGGGATTTTTCCTAAAATCTGAAAACCCCAAAACATGAACTGATAACGCGTGGTAGAGTATAAAATCCTCAAACTACTGCAATTTAGAGTCCAAAGTTATATGGGTTCAGGCCTAAGAAGGGACCAACAGTTTTGTATTTCTATTCTTTCTTTCAGGAGGTATAATTATTTGGGGGAGCTGCCTAATTGCTGGCCAATATATAAAATTTCATTATGGTCAGGATCGAGTTTTCTATTATGCTTAGAAGACGGAATGATTACATTAGATGGCTAAAACGTCTTAGAATTATATACTTTATGGGGAAAAACTGACTATTTCGAGTAACGACTATTCCCCATACTACGGTAGAATTCGCCTAATAACCTAACTATTTTAATATAAACTAGTAAGCAAAGTTAAAAAACCGGGCGGGGCCGACTATATGATACGCTTCACCACTTTGGGTTAATACAAGAAATGCTCATATATACAATATCCTTTAGATAGAATAGACATATCAACAACCAATTTTAAATTTATGAAAATTTGAATGTCAATCATCTAGCAAAATATGTGTATGATCTATATATAAATGGGCGTATATGAACCCATGCGCTACGTTGTGCACTAATGCGTCCAAAGCGGACGAACTTTAATTATTTCGTACATCATTTTGATGAAATCGTATGAAAAAATATATGGAACATTTCATGATATGCGAACAGACATATGATCTCCCATTTGGACCATTTGTTTAAAATCGGACAAGAATATATGGGGGAGCTATATCTACACCTGGTGCACCATTTACATAAAATGCGACTAAATTATTATATATACATATGTGAACTATATTTATATCTGAACTGATTTAAAACGTAACAAAAAGCATTCTAGACCAAATTCTGTACTCGCTGTTAAATTTCGTGAATGTAGAACAAACATAGGACGGACAGACGGACATGCATAAATCGACTCAGAATGTGATTCTATGCATATTCTCAAAAAGAACCATATTCTCAATTCCTTTTGCCTATAAATCGAAGGATATATAGGAACTTTGGTTCTCCATTAACATAAAACCGGACGAAAATATATTTAGGAGCTATATATAAATCTGAATCTAAATCTGAACTGATTTTTCCCAAATTTCAATAGGGTTCGTCCTTGGGCCAAATAAATGAGCTGTGCCAAATTTCATTCAATTCGGATTATAAATGCGACCTGTACAGACGACAGGTCGGACGGACGGACATTCATAAATCGACTCAGAAAGTGATTCTAAACATATTCTCAAAAGGAACCATGGGTCTATCTCGTTTCCTCTTGCCTGTTACAAACATATTTACAAAGACATAATACCCTGCACCACAGTGTAGTGAAGGGTATAAAAAGGGGGTTATATGGGTACTACCCTTAAAAGGGGCGAATATTAATTATAAATAAATAATTAATTTTTGGTAAAGAGAAGAACCGCCTACCCAGAGTGATTACAACAGTTGGAAAATTAGTCTACGGCCATGAAAGTACCTCATATGGCACGGAATCTTTATATGGGGATGTATGAAATGAGGTTGGGATTTATGTGTGAAATCATGGACCTATACTGTAAAATGTTAGGTATAGCTGTTTTCCCCTCCAAAACCTCGGAAAGCCAAACTACGGCAGGAAAAAAGCAACAGAAATCTTTAAAATACAAAAATATTGGGTGTGTTAATGCATAAACCGACTTTAGAAAATATACAGACAGCCGCAGCTCGCCTGTATAATAAATTAGAAGACTCGGCGACCCCGACCGTTCTTGTTGAGTGGTTGTAAAGCACTAATTTTATTTTAAAATATTTATCCTTATGTTCTATTTAAACAACTCTTGCTTAGCCTAATCTCAAATACACAATACTTATCAATAAACTATTTGTTCTAATAATAGAATTTGATCTGTGGAGATTTTCCCATAAAATCATAAAATCTCAACACCAACCACAACAGCCTTATCAACGTTGCGTGTGGGATTTTAGACTCTTATCTTAAAACACTCCAACGAAAGCGTTTCTACCCACCAACAGGGCAACTAACAAAACATAGATCAATTTCGAATCGTTGTGCCTTTGCCAAATTACAGAAAGTTCGGTTGAAAAATGAACACAGGACCGACAAAATATTTATCAAAATATCAGGAGCGACATTTATTTTGGAGTTATGTCAAAACATGGGGTTGCAAAGTGCAGTGGATATTGTGCCAGACTACACATCGATGGGTCCCAGGTGCAAACCCGAGTGGATGATGGTCAATTAGTTAAGAGATTTTAGAATTTTTGTAAACAGATGCTTATACCTCTTTCCATTTGAAGCCATTAACACGGGAGGAGTGGTAGGCGATAGGTCAACAAGGAGGAAAGCTCAAAATTCTAGGCAACGATAGATAGTATAGACAGTCCCATCACGAAGGATAGGCAACAACAGATCAATCATCTAGTTAGCTGGAATAAAAAAATTAATTTCTTACAAAAGTAATACAGGGACTAACAGAGATAAAATAGTGATGCTTTGTGGATGCCCTATTGCATTGTATTCTTTCAGCAAAGCTATTTTGCATACTCCAAGAGAATGTTAAACCAGTAAGGAAAGTAGTAAAGCGGGACGGGGCCGACTATATGATACCCTTCACCACGTTGGGTATATCCAACGATTCAATCCTAACAGACGTCAAATTTTTGAAGGACCAGGGACAAAATTATGTTAATCAATTTAAATCTTAACCGATTTCAACTAAACTTGCCACATATTATGTTATAGTAACTTCAGTACCAAGTGCAAAATTTTGTGCCGATTGGACCCACCTTGGTGAAGTATTTATATCCAACTTCTGGGTTATTCTAACTCCAGTACATTGTACAAAATTTGTGTCAATTTTGTGTAAAATCGGAAGACACCATTTACATTAAATCAGACGAAAATATATATGGGAGGTATATCTAAATCTAAACCGATTTTCACGAAATTTAACACATATCGTTCTAGACTTAATTCAGTACGCTCTGCAAAATTGCAAATGGAGTGATAAATAGGGACATTGGTGCAAATGGAATAATAAATAGGGATTTTGGGGCACCATTTGTCTTAAATCGGCCGAATATACATATGGGAGCTATATCTAAATCTGGACCGATTTTCAGGAAACTTAACACACATCATTCTGGACCTAATTCAGTACTCTATGCCTAATTTCGTGCAAATCGAATGATATAAAGGGACTTTGGCGCACCATTTACCTTAA